CAGAAAAAATTCAAAAGAGTATGTAAAAATCCTCGAATGATAGTGCAAGTAGTTTTGATAGTAAAAAGTAATAAACCATTGGTCTAAACATGACCTCAAACAACTGCACGGGGATTAGAAGCAGGCTAGGATCTCTAGGCTTCTACAGCGTCTCACCCCTCTCGGAACAAGAAGTTTCTCTACAGCAGATTGTAATCTGATGAAATGACTTAGCATTTTCAGTGCTGATAGAGGTCGACTCTTTTTTTCATCACGATTCACGGTCATTTTCACGCACGCACGCCGCACCTGACCCAAAATTGTATCGGATTTTTGTGCATAAATTAAAGGGCCACGGAGTTGGCGTAGATTTTTCAGAGCAGATGAACTATGAAAGGTGCGTGTTTGTGTGTGTGTATCGCATATCTCTTCGGAATCCGAAAAGGCGTCTTTTTCATCTGAGGAGACAAGCACGTCATCATCATCACCGTACAGCGAAATACAGTGAGGTCAACTACACTGATCGCTACCAAACTTGCGATGCATACGGGGTTTGTGATAAAATGTATGGTGGACAGGGAGTGGACCTATTTTGAGACAGAGGGAAGGAGGTGAATCTGTATGGTCAACACACAGAGATTGCACAATCGAACTCTGTATACATACTGTTTCAAGCATGCTAACCTTATACGAACCGACAACAAGAGCGCCACTGCTGTCGGTTCGCTGCTATATCCTTCAATGTCTTCAACCAACCAGTCAGTCTTTCAGACCCCAACTCGAAAGAAACCTAGTCTACCTAATGGCTCTATGCATTGCCTAATGCCTCGACTCCCCGTCATCTGTTGACCTCCACGCGGTTTCCTCCCACCCGGAGCGGCTACAGTGAATAAAGTGCGGTGCGGCAGACGACAGCTGGGCATGCGCAAAACGTGCCCTAGCCAGTGAAGCCTGCAAATCTGAATTCGGTGTGTTAGCAAGTTTACCCTGATAAAATTGAAAACACAAGACAACTTACCTCCAGATTACTAACTCGTTTGCTCAACATCCCACGTGGGCTAAACTAAGTAAACATCGATAATCGAAAACGTCTAGTCGACGGATATATTCTACTCGCAAATTCAAGTTGTCACAAGCATAAAGCACATACGGCAACAACGAATCGAATTAGTCAAATCAAACAATATCAACCGCAACCGACGAAAGAAAAGGAAGTGATCTTATATAGCAAAAAAATCGAATCACAGAGAAAGGAAGTTTCATCGATAATATTAACTAGTCTCCAAGTGGACAGCAAGATGCCTCATGCCCAAGTTGTAATTCAGCACGATCGGATTAGCACAGCCACAGAGAGAAAGAGATGACAAACAGAAGAAAGCCATGGGCCGCCAGCTGAGTTGGAATGCGCAGCTACGCACCGGTAGTCTATAGAGGGGGACCAAGTGAGCGACTGTTTGTGAATAAGAAAAGCTACCGTGTTTTGTGGCCTCAATAAACATGTGCGTGTTTCACCCGCTTGCCTTCGCGTTGCAATATACCGACACATACGAGATGAGTGAGTGCACAACTAGCAGACCATCTTAAGCACCATAGAGTCCACCGTTCGATAGGCAAGCTAACCCACATTGAGGGTGACAGAGCGTGTTTTATCATTTTCTGTCAGGTAGCACTGTTTGCGTGAATTGTCCTCACACACACACACACACATACAAACAAGCAAACAACCAGATCGTCTAATCGATGAGCTGCATGTAGTAGATCCGGATAAAATTACATAAGGTAGATTACCGTAGTTTGCCTAGGAAATATATACATCTAATTTTTAACACAACAATAATAGCAATAACAATAATAGGGGGCAGGTGAATTGGAATAGGGAACAAAGTGAAAACAAGGTGAATCAGGGAAAATGGTAGATAGCTGGATGACAAAAATTGTTTGTGTTTCACCTTACACTTTTTGATATTTTCTTTTTTGTTATTCTTAAGGGACACAGGATCTCGACAGGCAGATCGTGCTGCATTCGCGCTACTGAATTATATTCTGGATCATATCTCTTAGCATCTCTAACCAAACACAACCCTCATCCCTTGGGCCACAACTTGGAAGGCGGGCTGCATCAACCGAAGCCAAACCTGAAGTCAACTTCTTCATGCTTCTAGCCCATGTCATGGTCTGACCGACGCGACGTTTCTTTCAGCCTTGTCCGGTACGTGTGAAGAGAGCACGGAAAGGTAGTCGATGGGAAGCCATACGCAATACGTGACCAAGCCATCGGAGGCGATGTAGGGTGATTACTTCTGTTAAGGAACTTCCAACACACGACGACAAGCCTCGTCATTACTCACCTGGTGCTCCAACCAGACAACAACAATATTTCAGGAACATCGGCGGCCGAATACAGAAAGTCGATTAGTATCCCCAACGCCTAGGGTCCAGGTCTCGCAACCGTAAAGCAGAAAGCTACGAACCATGGCGATGTACACCCTTCTCTTAAGGGATAGTCGGATGTCATTTCGGCGCTACATGTGTCCCAGCTTGGCGAAAGCTGTTCTAGCTTTCGCTATTCGTGATGTGATCTCCTCTCTAACACCCTAATCAGCTGCGATCAAGTTCTCGAGGTACTTAAAGCTCTCAACTACTTCCATTTGACCACCACAGAGGTTGAGTGTAGGCACAGGCTCCTGCCAGTCTTGAACAAGCACTTTGCACTTTGATGGTGCAAAGCATATGCCATACCTGGATACCTCGATCACCAAACGGTTTAAAGTGTCTTGAACTGTCTGTGTTGCCACCCAGCTATTGACGTGATAACCGGACACAACCGATTCTGACGGGAATCAACACTTGGGGAAAACAGCAGAGCACGTCACCAAAACTGGAGCAGCAAACCACGCAGCTGCACAAAATGGAAAACCGCATGGAAGCAAAACAAAACCACTCCATATAAAAAGCTCAATTCAATGACTGAACTTATCGTTAGCTGTGTGTGTATCTGACCAAATGACACGAAATCGTGGAGCGAAAACCAGCGCGGAGGTTGGATGAATAGCATTATGAGGAGAACCAATAAAATAAGAGATGATAACATAACAATTTATTGTAATCTATTGCTTAACACGTGCAAACGAGATAAGCAATGGTCCCATAACATTCAAAACATAGTTCATAACTGGTATGTGTAGAGAAGCTAATGATAAGGAGCAAATTTGGCTTCAGTGGAGGTAACACTTGTGCGTTGTCTTTTGTTTAAATACTACTTGAGAGTAGGCCTATGCATTTTGCTAGATGAAGCACAACACAGACCAAACTAGAGACAACCGTATCAGTATAAAAATACGCACTAACCTCTGGAAAATCAGACCATTCGGGAAAGAAACGAATGTGTGATTTAATCAGTTCCGTCAGACTAACACCAGACGTGGCTCCCTCTCCTTGTTCATCTCCTGCCGAACCACCATCACGACCATCATCATCGTCGTCATCGTCATAGTCCAAATCGTCATCCCCGTCATCATCGTCATCGTCATCATCATCATCGATATCCGCTATGCGGCGGTTACGTCGTCTCGATCTGCCTTCATCATCTTCATCCGGTTCGTAATCCCCGTCCTCATCCTCATCCGCATCCACTGGGACTGTCGGTGATGTGGGACTATGGGGACAGACAGCACTTGGCTGTAACCCGGTCAATGCCAAGGTCGAATGGGATCCGAAAGGAGATTCACAAGATGATGCAAGCAATTTCGGAGCGAAATTGAATCCGGTCTGGATCGATCGACACGGCGAGTGAACACGAGCCAATGAGTGCGAAGACGAGGCATCGAAACTGTCTAGACCGATTCCGGACCTGGATGCACTAAGTGGCGACCGTGGTCGGTTAGAACGTGCCCGAGATTTTGTGGCTCCGCCCAACAACTGTCGTGCACGCTCCTCTGTTCGAGGTGAACGCTGTGTCTAGGGAGGGGAAGATAAAAACCGAAGTTAGTTCTATAGTTTAACTGGGCATGGTTGTCTGTCAAATTTGGCTCTAACTGGACAATCTTCACCAGTTGACACCAGTTTCCCCAGAAAAATGGCAGTTAGTCAGGATATAAGTTACCTCGCAAGTTAAAGGAATATAACCCGAGCGGATTACCTTCGTCCATCTTTAAGTGTGAAGGCTCAGCTTTAGTCTTAAAATTGGGGAGGTAGTGGCCCGGTGGCGAAGGTCACCAAATTATCATTACGTGTATTCGAATCCCATTGCTGGACTTTCCCCATTCTCTGTTCGCGTGTTGTATACAGTG